GATGATTTCGTTTACTATTACGTTCTCAGAGTTCATCCATGTTGTAAACTATGTCTGACCTTCCTTTTTAAGGTTGAGTAACATTTTGTTGTACGTGTATACCAGATCTTACTTATCCATTCATCTATCAAAAGACACTTGATTTGGGGCCCATATTTTAGGTATTGTGACTAATTCAGCTCTGAGCACAGGCACACATGTCCGAGTCCCTGCTTTCAATTCTTTTAAGCATGCCAAGGAGTAGAAGCGCTGGATCACATGGGAATTCTGTTTTACATTTTTCAATACTGTTTTTCACGATAGCTAACCATTTTACACGGTGCAAAGGGATTTCAGTTTCTCCTTACAGAAGTCATCCTAATTGTGCAGTTTTGATTTGTAGTTCCCTAGAGATTGCGGTGTTGGGCCCCTTTTCATGTGCTTCCTGGCTATTTGTGTATCTTCTTTGGCAAAATATCCATTCAAGTTTTTTACACTTACTTTTGAATTGGATTTTTTTCTTGTTTTAGAAGTTTGATACATATGCTGTTTATTAATTTTTATCAGATAGATCATTTGCAAATGTTTCCTCCCATTCTGTGGGCTCCTTTTACTCTTTTGTAAAGTACCTATCAATACACATTTCAAAAATATTTCTTTTTTTCTTTTTTTTTCTTTTCTTTTTTTTTTATTTTGGTTTTTTTGAGACAGGGTCTCACTGTAGTATAGTTGAGACTGACCTGGAACTCACTATGTAGCCCAGGCTGGTCTCGAACTCACAGCGATCCTCCTACCTCAGACTCCAGAGTGCTGGGATTACAGGCGTGCGCCACCACACCCAGCTCAAAAATATTTCATTCAGTCCAATTTGTGTGTTTTCTCCCTTTGCATCCTGTGCCCTTAGTGTCATAGCCGTAAAATCATCGCTGAACTTTATGTCATGCAGTTTTTGTCCTGTGTTGTCTTCTGAGAGTTTTATATAGTTTTAGGTCTGACATTTAGGTCCTGGATTCATTGGGAGTTTGTCTGTGTATATAGTGGTAGATAAAGACCCTTTTGCATCTGGACAGCCAGTTTTCCCAGAATGATTTGTTGAAAAGACTTTTCTTCCAGTGAGTGATTTTAATGACTCTGAAAACATCATATGATTATTTCTGTAAGGGTTTGTTTCTGGACCTCCTATTCTATTTCACTGGTCAATATGTCTCTCTTTAAATTAGTAGCACATTATTTTAATTACAGAAGCGCTGGAAGAAGTCCTGAAATCAGAAGTGTTGGCTCCCCAACTTTATACTTCTCTTCCAGCATTGTTTTAGCTTTTTGGGGTCCCTGTGATTCCATATGCATTTTAGGGTTTTTCTATTTCTGAAAAAAAAAAGTCTCTGGGCTCATAGGAAATGCATGTTTGGGGTGGTACTGAAACCTTGAAAATACAAGCTGAGTGTTTTTATTTAAAATAGTTGAGACCAGAAGTGTTTCAATTTCAGATTTTTTTTTCATATTTTGGAATATTTGCATAGACCTAAAAAGATGTTTTGGGTATGAAACCCAAGTCTAAACACACAATTCACCTCAATTTCGTATACACTTTATAAACACAGTGTAATTCTGTACAATATTTCAGTGCACCTGAGTTCAGGTTTTGTGCATGTGAGTCCAGGTGTGGAATTTCTCACTGTGGCATCACACTAGTGATCAAAAAGATTTTGGAACATTTTTTATTTTGAATTTTTGGATGAGGGGTACATAACCTGAGTTAAGTCTTCTAACTTATGAAAATATATTAAATATTTATATTACATTGTCATATATAATTGATATTGGCTATTTTACATTGATGTCTTCTCAATTTCTGTTAGAAACGTTTACAGATTTCACTGTACAGATCTTTGGTTAAATTTAATTTCTATTTAATTCTTTTGAGCCTAATGTAAATGAAATTTTTTTCTTAATTTCCTGTTGGGATTATTCATTGCTGGTATATACACTGTAAAAATGACTAACTGCTTCCTTTGTGTGAACTTGAGATCCTGCTACTTTACTGAGTTCTTTATTAGTTCTAGCAAGATTTTTAAAAGACTCTTGAGAGTTTTCTCATAGATCATACCATTTGTGAACAGAGGTGATCTAACTTCATCCTTTCATCGTTTTTCTCTCGTCTAATTTGCTCTTGTTGGGACTTCCAGTAACGACTTCAATGGCGATGGCAGAAATAGACATCCTTGCCTCCTTGCTAAACTTAGAGGAAAGATTTCAGCCTTTCATCCCTGACTATATTTGTCACTGGTTCTTCACATTCAGCCTTTCTGTCAAGGGGTTTCCTTCTATTTCTAGGTTATTGAATATTTTTGTCTTGAACAGGTGTTGAATTTTGTCAAATGCTCTTCTTGCGTCAGCTGCAGTGATCGTTACTGTTTTTCCCCTTGTTCTGTGTTTGTGGCACCACTTTGCCCTCCACTTCTGGCACAGTGTTTACATATACAAACAGACTGGCAACTTTACTAGCATATGGGCCGGGTACTGTTCTAAGAGCTTTGCGCAGGTCTTGCTGGTTTATAGCTCACAAAAAGTTTATAAGGAGAATCATTCACTATCCTTTATTGATGAGTAAACTGCAGCACGCCTAAGTTGGGCATGCACATTTAACTGTAAGAGGCAGAGCTTGTTTCAACACCAGGCAGGCTACTGAAGAGGCTGTGCACCGACTGCTACACTGTACTCCATACTGTGTGCAGAGCCAATGAATGAATGCATGAGTGAATGAATGAATGATGAATGAACGCGGGCATGAATGAATGGTAAGTAACCCTCCCCCAGACACTTAGGTACATCTTACGCAGAAGTAGAAGCTGGCCATTTGCGCTCCCTATGATGGTCTTCAGCTCCAGGATCTCTGTGACTGAGGCATGAGAAGGCAAAGAAACAAAGCTGGTCCTAACTCCTGTCTGACTTAACAGGAGCTGAGCAGCCTTCAAGGTCCAGACTCATATCCCTTGACAGGGCACTCTGGATCTTGCCACAAGGGCACCTCTGCCTAGCCAGAGCTGTGTGAATGCCTCTGGGTCCTGCCAAACAACTTTGGGTTGCAATTTCTCATATCCTGCCCACTTGTCAAATCAAGCGTAAATGTTGTTTTCTCCAGAGCCTCTTTCTTTTTAAAAGAAATTTCTTTTAAACCTCCCTCTTTCTCGTAATAAAAAAAGGTAAAATTAAAACCCCAAATCTGGGGTGGAACAGCACATATGCCCTGGAAGCACCTAGAGGTTACTGAAAGTCACTATCCTACAAGAATAAAACGGCTCCAGGAGGGGGAACAACAGACAAGATGGTGGCCTTTGCACAGAAGTTAAGTTCCTCACTGCCTTTGCCATCACAGACAGATGTTCAGGGCTGTGGATTTCCAGTGAAAAGTGTACTGCATCAGAAGTGGCTGAGCTTAGCTGGTGAGTTTATGAAAGTGAGGAAGGAAAGAGAAATAAAGAAATAGACTCCTGCCGCAGGGAAATTGAAATGCACATTCTGCCGGGAAAGCGTTGACATGGTATTTCTGATCAGTTCCAGGATTCAGTCCCTACTTGAGTGTCATGGGGGAGGTATACAGATATTAAACATTTACATAAAAACACCCATGATTCATAGTTCGCTCAGGAAAGGGCAAATATCAGTGGCTGTGAGCAAAATGAACAGGTTCACAGCCCTAACATGCAATATTTTTTAGGTGGAGTCTCCCTACGTTGCCGGGTGGCCTTGAACCCAACCACACATGTAGTTAGGACTATAGGTGGGTGGGCCCCATTGTGCCTGGCTGACATGCAATTTGGTGGGGGGCGGGGGTTACTTGGGATCCAACTCAGGACCTTGAGCTTGTATGGTGCCACTGAGCTAAATCCGGGCTTAACGTGCAATTTTTGATACATGTGTAATTCAGTTTTTCTACTACTTAAATCTATTAACAGAATTTTGGAGCAATAATATTCCTCTAAACTTCTGTTTGTATTGAGAAATCAGTATGTGCTACCTGAAAATGAATTATCCAGGGGAATCCATCCAGTAATATATGAACTCTAGTGCATGATACACATAATGAAATGGTAATGATGTTTTAGTACTTGTATATCATTTTACAGCTCACAGAGAAATTTCACACACATTTCTTCACTGACTTTTCACACCACCTCTCACTCTTCCCTGGAGCCTTCTGCATTACAGACCCTCAAGCAACATTCCAGGTATGGCTCTCAACTGCAGGAACAACAGAACTCTGCTTTCCTGGGCCTTAGACACTGCCATCATTGCAGACTAATAGCATATGACTACTTTTTCTTTTTTTTTTTTTTTTTTTTTTTTTTTTTTTTTTTTTTTTTTGGTACCGGGGATTGAACTCGGGTCCTTACGCTTGCAAGGCAGGCCACGGAACCACTGAGCTAAATCCCCAGCCCATGACTACTTTTTCTTAATGAGCACATCATACATAAGGTTGGGGATAGACTTGCTTTCACTTTCTCCAGTAAAAACTGTGGATCTCAGGAAGGTCAGGAGACTTCATCTAGCAGCCCTGAAGCACTCCTACTATACAGTCTGCTTTGGAGTCCACAGTGTCCTAGTCCTCTCACCCCCGATATTAGACTTAAAATGTCCTCCAAAATTCTCCTTTGTATGGAAGGTGATTAGATCATGGGGCCCTATGCTAACCTGGGTTTAGTCCTCTGATGAGTTCAGAGCTGACACACTCTTCAGTCCTGGAGCCTGGTTAGAGGCAGGTAACTATGAGCATGACTTGGAAGGGTGCATCTCCTTCCTCACTTCCTCCCTTCTCACTAGGCTTCCTGGCCTTTGTGGGTTGAGCACCTCTGCCTCTACCAGGCCCCCCTTCCATCGTGTTTCTACCTTGGAGCCTGCAAACCACAGGCTAAAACTGTGAGCCACGATAAACCTCTCCTTTTTAAGCTGTAGGTGTTGGTTATCATATCTCAGCAGTGGGATTGTGACTAAGACACCAATCTACACAGAAAAATCTTTACCTGAGAGTTCATCAGTCGAATGGTAGTTTTCGTGCCCACATCTTGTTGGAAGTTGGCTGTGGGTGCCCCATTGAACCTCAGGACTGCATCATGATCATCTATAAACCACAAGGAAATAGAAAAGAGGTGATGGATGAGTGCTAACAATATACAGACAGAGAGAAGGGCAGGGGTGGGAAGAGAAGGGCAGAAAGAAAGGAGGAAACAAAATACAAATGCTTTTCTGATTTTTATCCCATCATGATATAAAGGGAAAAATTATATTTTTATGGTGCTCAGGTAGAGCTCACAGACAGAAATGACATCCTTCTATCAGCCACTGCATGAGCTAATGGGGGTCCAGATCGTGAATCCTGAAACCCATTAAATGGCACCAGTGGACAAGGCACAGCAGAAAAGTGAGCAAGGCCAGTGTGCAACTTGAGGAGGAATGGCTATTCCAATTATCAAAGGAACAAACCAGATATGCTGTAGGCATCACCAGTAAATTATATTCTATCCCCATCAGAAAAATCAAGGCAATGTCATACGCTCAGTCTGCTCTCCAAGTGCACAGTGCTTGGCAAATGGAAAGACTCACTATGGCATCCAAGGCAGCCATAAGTGTTCATTTAGGAGCCTAAAATACGGAGGAGGGTCACAAACCTAGTGTGGGAGAAATGGAGCAAGAGATCATAGTGGTAAACTAAACACCATTTGTATATAAAGAAATTCAATCTGTATCAGATAGACTGTTTCAAAAAGCATCGAGTTAGTCCTTGGGCTCAGTCTTCTTTTGGCCACGGAAGCAGAGTCTGAAAGATGGAGAAGTTTCTCTACCTACACTGCCCAATCGGATGAATGAAGCGATAGCCTCTAAGAACTAACCCCATCTGGGACCTTTGTGATCCAGCGACAGCTCAGCCCAGCCTTCCACGATCAAGAAAGTTTAGGGCTCACCACCATAATCTCCACCAGAGTTGAAGCTCAGCCCAATAATGTATTGTTCCACCTGCCCCCATGGGGCTTTGTTTGGGCTGTTCCTTATCCACACAGATAGGGCTGAGGGGATGAAAAGACCTTCGGTACAACCCAAGATGATCCGGAAGGGGAAGCTAAGGGATGAAGTGCTCCCTCTTTGTTCATTTCCAGAGTAGGTGCTAAACCTCATGCACAAGTCCTGGCACTCCATTCACAGAAACAACATAACCCTATCCACGGTCCTAGGACAGAATGTCACTGAAATGGTTTGAAAGTGACCTAAGACAAACATAGTCCACATTTTTTTTCAGCTTAAGGGACAGGTACACTGAACTGCAAATAGGGCAGCAAGTCTATCTTTGCACAACTCAGAATTACAAGCTTTGTCATGGGAAATGCAGATCTACAGAAACTGCACTTAGCCAACTATCTCATTTCAAGATTGAAAAAAGAAAATTGTTGCAAATCTGTGTAGAAAGGAAATGAAAGCTCCAGTGAAGCAACTAACAGTTTCACGAAAGGACTACTTACTAAGGTTGAGTAGAGTTAAAGGAAATCAAGGCACGGAAGGCTAGGACACTGGGGTCAGCTGCTGCAGGAAGCCATTACTATTGTGACACTCAGAGCAGAGACCCTCAGCTAAGAGGGAGCTGCTGTCAGGAGCTGTAGCCTTTAGGAGAGGAAAACAGCTACTGCTTCCATCCAACAGGCAGGTAAGGGCCTGAGTAATCAATATCATAACCTCTCCCCCCTCTACCCCTCAAATCTTACAGGCCTGAGGGGAAAAAGGGGAAAGCAGGCCCCAGGGACCAGAGGGCTGCCTGACAGGGCCTGAGACGCTGCCACAGGGAAAGTGTAAGCCCTGAGCTTATTTTGCAGGGGACACCCAGGGAAACATGCCCCAATCTCATCTTCCTTCCCCTCGGCTTTATGCCTGTACTTCTCCTGACCAGTCCCAAATGGAAGCCAAATGGCGTGGAAGGTCCACTGCTGTGACCCAGAATGTCAAATTCCAGGCGAGAGAGCTAGATGGGAAAGCGAAGAGAGTAGATTTGGAGGGGCTGATGGAGAAAGCTTAGCATGGGAGATTAAGATTGATCTTCAATGTTGACCCAGAGAAAGGAGGTTCTTTTTGTTCGTTCAGTAAATACTGACTGGGCAGCCGGGGATTTAGCTCAGTGGTTCCGCTGCCTGCCTTGCAAGTGCAAGGACCCAAGTTTGATCCCCGGTACCAAAAAAAAATACTGACTGGGCAACTATTCTCTGCCAGGTGCAGTTCTCAGCACCACGGACAAGGGTGTGAGCAAGAAAGATGAGGCCTTGCCCTCAGATACCTTACATGCTGCTGCACTGAGAGATGGTAAGTATGACCTGCATATAAAATAATCTGATCAGTACACCGAGTTGTGTGAAAGACACATTGACAACCTCCGGTAGGCAGAGTGATGATTTGCGGAATGTCTCAGGCTGAGACCCTGGAAAGGGCCCAGGGAAGTCCATTCCAACTAAAGGATACAACAAGTGTTAAGACCACAGTGAGGGTAAGGACTTGGCTGGAGAGAAGTGAGTGAAAGGAAGAAAATCAAAGACGCAGCTAAAGAGATTGGCAGGAACAGATAGCGCAGGGCTCCGGAGTAAGAAAACAACTTTCTCGAATGGAAAGGAGATCAAGAGATGGAGGGAGGGAGGAGAAATGGGGAGGAAAGGGGATGAAAAAAGGAATTGAGATATGTTATGTACAGGTACCAACTCCATACAAAGAAGGTCAACATTGTGTACTGCAAATAGGTACGAATAAAAATATTTTATTAAAATATCAAAGAAGAAACCTTCTTTAAAAAGCTAATTGGAAATACCGAATAGTTTCCCTGGTGTGAATAATCTGCAATAATACAGAAGATCCTAATAAGATTACTCACATTGAGAAATGGGAAGAAAAGATCTAAAGGTGTAGGGAAGGTGGGATGGGTAGGGGAAGGGTAAAAGGGAAAAGAAAAAAAATGTGAGATAATGAAAAGATAGAAATAAAGTGGTTATAGATGGGGAGGGGAGGAGGGGGTGAAGGGAGGGCAGGGACAAGGGGAAAAATGAGAATCAAGACCTGTCATGTAGAGGTACAAGATCCCAACAATAAATGTAAACGTACGTATCCATAAAATGTACCAATAAATTCAATTAAAGCTGAAAAAAAAAAAGCTAATTGGAATCATAAACAAAAGGGATGGGATCCTTGTTTGTCAACTTATCTTCACTAGTCAAAGTTGAAGAGCTTTCAAACTCAGAGTCCTCCAGGAAGCACCCAGAGTGATCTGCAACCCAAGGGGTCAAAGCAAACAAGCCTGCCAAGTAGGAAGGCCGCGGAGGACAGGAGCTCCCACCTCTTTAACTTTACCTTACGCATCACTGTGTGCAGTTGATGTAATTACATGCTTAGAAAATTCAATAGAAACAGCTCATTAGGAAATTCATAAATGCATCCAAACTCACTGCTTCAGGTGTAGCAATTCTAAATAGCTAGAAGTCATGATGTGATAAATTTATCACCTAACATTTTCATATTTTCAAAAGAACTTTACAAGTCATCTCCCTACCCTACCTCTCTCTTTCTCTGTTTTTTATTTTTTGGTGTGGTATTGGGGATTGAACCCAGGGCCTCACCTGTGCTAGGCACCTGCTCTATCACTGGACCAAAGTCTCAGCTCTCTTTAATCTTTTCATTTTGAGACAGGGTCTTGCTCAGTTGCCCAGGCTGCCCATTAGCCTATAATCCTCCTAGATCAGCCTCCCAAGTACTGGGATTACAGGTGTGCACCACTGCACCCAGCCCTCATTTTAATAAAGTTTTATTGGAATATAGCCAAGCCCATTCTTTACTACTGTGTTTTACGGTTGCTTTTGTACTACAGCAGCTGAGTTGAGTACTTATGACAGATACTGCAAGGCCCTCAAAACTAAAAATATTTTCTATTTGCCTTTTACAAGAAAAGCTCTCTGACCTCTGCCATAACCAATCATGTTCTTCAAGCCACTCAATCCGCAAGTGTCTTCTCTGTCCTCATTATGCTCAAATACAGGTCCCAGCTCTGCAGACTTTGATGCCAACAGCTGCCATCGCCCAGCTGCATCCCCCTTTGCCTTCTGTCAGAGTGGTGCACACACCTGATTCTCCTCCATCCCCTCTCTGCCCTCCTGAATTTTCTACTTGTCCTTGTTCTCAGTGTTCATCTGTCTAGGTTTTCTAATTGGCTCTCTTCCCTAGACTACTATATCACCTCACTTCAGTGCAAATGACTCCTAAAGTTGACCTGCAGATCTGATTCTTCTTCAGAATCAAATACTCAACAGCACAGACACCTACAGAGGGAAACCCACAAACACTTCAGATTCGTAGCATACCAAGTGGAATCTGCCTTCCTCCAGAATCACACTCCCCAGCAACAGGACAGCGCCTGTTCCTACACTAGAACTCTGGCTCCTACCTCTTGCTCGAGGTCATTTCCACATCTTAGACACTAAGTTCTGGCCCTTCTCTCTCAGGATACTGCTCAAAGCAGGCCCTTTCTCTACACCACCACTCCCAGTGCCGCACAGCCTGGATAGGACTTCTTAGCTGGATGTGGCAATGGTCCCCCAAAATGGGGCAATTACACAGAAGTCCCCATGAAGACAGGACTCAGGTACAAATGAAAGAACTCCCCAAAGCATACACCATCCTATTGCTCTCTTGCTCCAAAACCTCTAGGGTTCTCTGTGGCTTACAGAACAACACCCAGCATCTTTACAGGGACTGTTAACATTCTATAAGGGTCGAACCTTCACTCCCATTCTGGCCCCATTTTTCACCCTTCTTTACCCTCTGGGCCCCCCTTTCCAGCCAAAGAGGATTCAGTCATGCTCAAACACACTAAGCACTTTTCCCTGTGCAGCCCTTGCTTCTGCTTTTGCCTCCACTCAGAATGCTCCCCTCCTTTCCCCTAGGAAAGCAACAAAAGATTAGTCCTACCACACTTTTCTATGAAGCTGCAACCAATATGAGGCACAGGAGCTAAGCAGTGGGATCAGGTATTTAACTCAGTGGCACCACGCCTGCTTCACATGCTCAAGGTTCTGAGTTCTACCCCCAGCATCAAAAGAAGAGCTAAGTGGGGTGGGCTACGAGTCAAACAACAGCTTCTAAACCCCAGTCTGCTCTCAACAAGTTGTGTGCACCTCCAAGAGTCTCGTTAGCTCATCACAAATGGCAACGGTGATCTGACCCTGCTCAGAAGGCTGCTGGGAGAACTCAAAGAATAAGCGGGTTTGACACACAGCAGGTGCACAGTGAGGGTCACTGCTATTGGCTATAGTGTTTTTTAAATGTGCTCTCATTGGAAATGAAATTCCCAACAAATCTAAGATACTTTCTATGCATAAGTAAACTACCAAAAATAATTGCAAGTTTCTGAGTCCACCATTGGCTGGTTTGTGGAACCAAGGGAGGCACATTATGCATACTTTCTACACTTTCTCTGGCAAACGGTCTTGCCATGGCTGAAAACACAGTCATAAAATGTATCTTCCTTAAAGAGGAAGGATATATCATGTACATGTGCAAATTCCCTATGACGAATTTGCCAAGAAATGTTTTGCTTTAAAAAAAATAACGAGAAAGAAAAGTCGAAGATCAGCATGCATGAGGCTGTGGGTTTGATTCCCCAGCACTGAAGAGAGAGAAAAAAGAGAAGATTATTACACAAAAAAATATTTTCAAAATACAAGTAGTGGGGGGGCACTTGATTGATAATATGAACAATTTGCTTAACTGAAACTCTAAGAAATGCAAATTAAGAATGCACTGAGCCCCCGGAGCAAGCCCGCAATTCCAGCACTCAGGAAGCTGAGCCAGAATTGCTACAAGTTCGTCACTAGGCTACATAGTGAGTTCAAAGCCAGCCAAAGTGACCTGGTGAGACCACAGCCAGCCTAAACTGCATAGCGAGACCCTGTCTCAAAAAATAAAAAAGGAATGTACTGAGATAAAATTTCAGATATATCAAACTGCCAAGTATCCAAAAGTTTGACAATTCATTTGTCTGGCTATCTCATACACTGTTGACAGGAGTCAATTGCAGACGCATTTACCATTAGCCCCAGCAAGCTTACTTCTAGGAATCTACCCTGCAGCTAAATAAACACTGGACAACACACTCACAGGTTAGTCAGTGCAGAAATGTTTACAGTAGCAAGAGTTTGGAAAGGAACTAAAGGTTCACCAACAGAACTGACTTAATAAAATAGCCCTGGTCCGGGGATTTAGCTCAGTGGTTCCACCGCCTGCCTCACAAGCACAAGTACCCAAGTTCAATCCCCGGTACCAAATAAATAAAATAGCCCTATGGTGAAGTGTATGCAGTCATGGAAATGAATAAGGAAGATTTCTACCTAATGATAAGGGGTATTTCCAGTATCCATTAAATGGGAAACATGGCTCAATCTTATATATAAAATTCAATCTTTTATATAAGGAAGTAAAATTTGAAATATATGTACAGTGGACCCTTGAGTTACAACTGGAACAACTTGATTTAGAACTGGAATTTTAGTTCTAACTTATGACCAGTCGAGTTATGACCCAAATGCCAGCCACCTGTGCTTCCAGATGGTCCCAGACACAGATTTAACCCTTACAGTGATCTAGAGGGAACATTACAATATCTCTTCCTGTGTGGGGTTAAGTGAGAAATCTTGGGCCAATGTCCCTCTAAGGACACTGAGATCTGTGTGTGTAAAGGAAAGAGACTAAAGGCGTGCAGAGGATCATAAGCCTTCAGTTGACCAACTTGAGTTAAAACCAGTCCTCAAAAACAAATTGAGTTCAAAAGTCAAGAGTCCACTGTATAAATGATTTTTCCAGAAACTATGGGAAGAGAGATCAGCAATGATAACTAATAAGCAGTTGCACAGTAGAGAAAGGAGAAGGGAGAAAATATATTCCTAAATATACCTTTTTATATAGTCTTAATTCTTGACCCATAGAAATCCTAAGTGGAACACAGCATAACAACTAAAATATCTATGCCAAGAATCTTCAAAACTCATTTAGTATTTTGATGGCTGTAATCATGTAATATTGCTACTGTAATTCTGAAAGACTTTTATATATGTACTGGGGCCAAATAAATCTATTAATGTTTTTAAATTTTTTAAAAATTTTTTAGGCGCCTTCTAACCTCATTTGTGAGAATATTTCCCTATTGGAGGATGGTAGTAATCTCATAAATTATCTGTATAAACCAGCTATGCTGGTACATACCTATAATCCCAGCACTATGGGAGGCTGAAGCAGGAGGGTTATAAATTCAAGCCCAGCCTGGGTAGTGACTGAGACCTTTTCTGAAAAAATAAAAAATGTTAGAGATATAGCTGGATGTGAAAGCCCTGGGTTCAATCCCCAGGACCAAAAAAAAAAAAAAAAAATTATCTGCACAATAAACCTTACTAGCAGTACAATTTGTATGACTAAATAACTTGAAACTACCTTATATTTCAATTGCTGGGAACAGGCTCAAAAAATTTCTAGTGTGGTGGGAAGTCTATGGGCCTGGCATTCTGCCTGGGCCTCAAGAAAGCCCTTCCCCAGTGGCACTGCGCCTGCCTTGCAAGTGCAAGGTCCTGAATTCAATCCCCAGTACCAAAAAAAAAAAAAAAAAAAAAAAAAAAAAGAAAGAAAGAAAGAAAGAAAAAAAGCTGTTCGCTTCCCTTTGTCCCTTTGTATTCCAACCTCTCGTTTTGTATTGTTGGCCAATTTGTGAATGAATAAAAGGAAATGAATGAGTATCTTAAAATATTTGTTAGACCAAATGCCCAGAGGATATGCCCTATAAAACATAGAACACTTGAAGTTTAACCGTAATTTTTATTATAGCTCAAGATCAAAGTCTCTCCACAGTACTTTTTGAGGTTGTAACTGCAGTGTACAGAAAAAGGTTATTTTAATTCACATTTATTTAAATCACTCAGACTTTTTAGGGAGTGCACAAAAATCAAGCTGTCATAAAAATAATTCACCAAGGGATGCTTGGCCTGCCTCAGACCTCAGCATGCTTTCAGCCACACCGACCATAACGACTGGACGGGAAGCAGGCTGAGCTAACACCTGGAACAGCCAAACACCGCCACGTTGCAGCCAAAACAAGAAAGAAAGAAGCTTAGTTTTATTCTAGATGAACAGAATCTGGTCCCGTTTCGTTTCTAGCCAAACAGAGTCCAAAAGAAAGCAAAAAGGCGTAAATCAAAGTTGGGGCAGGACTGGTCGCCTTGGAAGCTCTTATTAGTAAGCACAGCTCATTGGGGAATTAGAAAATGTGATCTCACCACTTTCCTTTCTGCTCTAGAGAATCCAGTTCTCATCTACATTTCTTTGAGAGTATGTGCTTGGTTTCAGACCATTTTTCCTGGCAGTCGCAAGAAGGAAATAAAAAGAGAGACATATGACCTCACCTGCTCTGATCCCTCCAGCCTGACGGAAGAGCAGGCCTTTTTGTGCTCTGTTTTCTTTACTGCCAGATTCATTTCATAATAATGGAAAATATATTTCTCTCAATACAAGAGAACAAAAGGCCCTTAAGCAAATCAGTAGCTCTTGGCTGGATTAGTTTACCAATATGCATAGACTACCTTTATTAGCTGCAAAGGACTTTCAGAAAAGTAAATTGATCTGTTCTGCCCAGTGACTAAAATCTTATTTGGGTCACTGATTCCTCTGAGAATCAAACTACAATGTATGAATTCTCCCCTGGAAAAATGCACCGATTACATACACCTAATCCAGGTATATTTTTGTAGGTGATTTTAAGGACTTGTGAACGCCCTGAAATTAGCTCACAACCCCTCAGTTAAGAATTCCTGCTCTAATTAATTTTTTTCAAGGGAAAAAAGTGAAAATGACACAGGTGGATAAGGCCAAAAGAGTCCCTTTTGTACCAAATAAAATAATATCAGAACCTGAAAGTGAAGTAGAAATCTATGCTTCAAGTATTTTCAAAGGTCAAGTGTAGTTTTTTGCTTTTTGATAGTGGTAGAACTTGCTTTTTCAGAGGAAATACTCTGCAGAACACCAGTACTTGAAACAGATGAAAATGAAGCTAAGTTAATTGATAAAGATGCCAGAGTCCTGGACTCCCATCCTCTCAACTATCTCTGTAGCATATCTGACTCTTCAGAAAGAAATGGGAAACACTGCTCCGCACCAGCCCCGCCGGTCCACCACGCCATACCTGGGCCCTTGACTGCGGGGGCATCAACACACCCAATCGCTTTCTGGGAGCGGAGGCAACGTACCTATTTCTTGGCCCAGTTGTGAGGACTTCAGAGATCCCGCTGATGAGACAACAGCACACCTGCGCCACGGCCCAGCCTTGGTCCTAATGTTCTCCCTGGGCAGGTAACTCTCCCATTCAGAGGTATTGAAGGGAAAATCTGTGGCTCCCACCATGGTCACGTTCACATGGTCCCGGAGGTGGCAGCGCAGAGCATCCGCACTGAATTTAACACCTGGTCCCGGCCCCTTATAGGACACTTTATACTTGTTCATGCGCAGGTAATTCTTCCGGATGTTTTGCAGCCTGGGGACAAGGTTTTTGGATGAGCTGTCTTTGTCCCACACCTGGAAGGTGGGCTGCAGTTTGGCCTTGGGTGGGACCCTGGGTCTGAGGGTCTGGGTGAGCCGGTGGGGGACCTGGGTACTGCTTGTTGCTGCAGACCGGGGACCAGACCCCGTGGTCAGTTTCTCAAGGCTCTTGAGCACCTGGAATTCCTTGGTTTGCACTTTAAGGGAACCATAGTAACTCCCTTTCTTCCTTTCCTTCCACACACAGATGACTGCAAACAGGAGAAAGACCAGGATACAGTAGCTGAACTTTTTTTTCAGGTTGGTGTGAAACATAATGAAAGCTGTGTGTAGCCCTGTTTTAAGCAGGAAAATAAACCTGCAAAAAAAAGCAAGACAAGGGGGGAAAATGAGGTAAAGAACATTTGGAAATGGCACACAGTGGGGCAATGGGCTGAGCAAATAATTTAAAGTGAGGAGGTTTGGCGTTCAGCCCTATTCTACCTCCTACCAGTTATGTAGCCTTGAGCGACTTTCAGAAAAATCCAGCCTTCATTTGTGCTGTGAGTTCCCTTCTTCCCTCCTGACTGCATAACACTTTCTGTATCTTTCCGCCATTATTTCTGTGCTCCAAATCTTAGTTTCTGGCTACCTTCGTCTTGCTCCTTTCAAGAAGCTTCACTCTGAGCTCGTGAGGTCAGGAGCCATATCTGACTCTTCATTTAGTTTCTAGAGCCTTGCACTCTCTGAGAGATGAAGGCACGCATGCTTGGAAAACTAGGATGAAAAGAAAGTGCTGATGTGTCCACATCCTGGAACCCAGACTCCCTCGAACCCCAAGTCACTTAGAATAGTCAAGGAAAGAGCCCTGGTCATGGATGCTGCCACCGATTTATGGTACCACCCTCCAAGAGTGGTGACGTCCACCTCCTGCATGACAGTAAGACCAAGCTCGGCTTCACAACCCAACATTCAGTTCTGTGCCATGTACTGCAAGAAAAGCACCCTTAAGACAGGAAGCACCCTCATCTCACCACTGAGAATAGGGACTCTTGATAGGAGAGCAGCCATGGCCAATTAAAGAAATGAAAAAATTAATTTATTAAGTACAGTAGGCATTGTTCTTGTATTTAATTTCCTGGCATAACCAGAGTCATTGTGATATGTAGCTCCAGGAAGCACCATGCACATCTCAGGCATCTCTTGAGTTGTGCAGAAGGGACCCTATCCATGAAGGTGTTATGATCTCCATTTTACCATATTAGTAACGGGAAGCTCTGAGAGGCTAATGGGCATGGCTGAGATTACAGAGATAAGGACATGGCTGCACTGAGGTTCAGATCTCCATGCACTTGATTTCATAATCGAACGCCCTTCTACTCTACAGTACCATGCAAGTTCTGGGAAATGGACTTTGTTAGCAAACAGCCTGAATAGGCCCCCTTATATCTGAGTAAAAACCTATTTTGTTATCTCAAAATTGATTGTGTAACCAAATGAAAGATAGAAGCACCGTGAACTCAAACAAGGTCCATATCTTTTGAAAAACGTTCAGTTCTTTCCTCACTCACTGGATTTATCCATGTTAATGAGTTAAAGCAATACTCCCTGGGTTCTTACCCACCCTCTAGGAGTCTTAAGGCCTTTTCCAAGAAACCTACTCCTAAGGATTTGGGAAATAAGGTAGCAGAAGTACTGGATGGAACATTCATGAAACCAGAGTTCTTATCCCCAATGTTGGTGACCATAGGCAATTGAAAATCTCTGCCCCAAAGTCTCTGTGGAGGAATTGTCCCTGCCTAGTTCAGTCATGGAGTATTGAGAAGACCAAGCAAGAGGCTGTGTCAGTAGAATTGGTACTAGGTAAGCACAAAGCCAGGGTAGGTGCTCTGAACAGAGATGGGAGAGCAGCTCCCCAGCAAAAGAGCCATGTAGCGGGTAATGTGGGGCAGGGAAGGTGGCAGAGTGGAGCCGGAGCCATGACCCTTTCACTGGATGCTGTCCATCCAAAGCTCTTCAATTAATAGACCCCAACGTCACTCTTGAAACCCAAGAGCAGCATCAACCATAGCCGTATTTCCTCCCATTCCAGAACCTAGGGACCAGTGTCTCTGAGGAAGATGGGTTCCTAGCTTGGGTGGGTAGACTTTTAGAAGTAATAAGATGTACTTAGAGAAAGGTGAATTCTGACAAGAGATCACAAAGCTGGAAATCGCGGTCTTGTGACACCATCAGGAAGCTGAGGAATTAAGTTCCCACAGAATGGGGAAAGCAACTAATCACATGATCAGATAACTCAAAAAGAACCTGAGAAGAAGCAGCATGTGAGGAGGCCCCGCTGCATGCCAGGCACTTCACCTGCAATATCTCATCGAATCACTATAGGACCGAGTGATATTTTATAAAAGGAAGAAAAAGGCTTATCAGGGTTATAGGGTTTCCCAAAGTCAACAGCTTATTAGTGCTAGAAACAGCACCTTAACCCAGTATGAGTGACTCCAGAGGTTCATAGTCTTTGAAATAAAGACAGGAGGAATCTGTGATTAGAAGCAGTGAAGATCTGGTGTTGGCCATCAGGACTCAGAAATAGGGTGCAGAGAGGCAACTTGATCTGTCAGACCACGAAAGAAAAGCCAACTTCATCATGAGCAGTGTGCCAGCCATCAGGGTGGGCACTTCTTACCACTCTGAGAGTGGTAACTAACCACAATAGTTAGGTCTGATAAGGCCCCAAAGAACCTTTGAGATAAGCAGAAAGATGTTGTGAGTTCCATTTGTTGCTGGAAAAAAAAGTTGAGATTTGGGAAATACAGGGGATTTTCAAAGTTGCACAACTGATTTGGAAATGGTAGACTTTGAACTTGACCTTTCCACATATTCGTGAAAGGAGACAACAGGGAGAGGCCTAATTCCCTGTCTCAGGAGCTGGCGCTAGTGATGGATTTTCCTGGGTTTGCAGGAACGAAGAGTTTGTGCACACATCCAGGCCCAAGCACAGTCCTGCAACTCTCAGATGGCCTGAGCCTTGAGGGGTCTGTGTCAGTCCTGGCCTGGGAGTGCTCATCTGAACCCTAAGCTCAGGGCTGGCATGGTTCCCAACACAACCTTTGCATGAGGCTCCATATGCGGCAGCCGGATGGAGTCTCCAGTTACAGGCACTGGGAGCTGCAAGACCCTCTCTCATCTCTCAAGCTGTTCAGCAAGACAGGAGGGGCCTTCATCTAAACAGTGCATCAGAGGGGCAAAGAATAACAAACTTGTCTCCACAAACGCTCCGAATTTCCTTATCACACGGGGACAATTCCTTAAGCCTCCTGCCATCTGCACCTCTGCATTCTCTGCCCTTGACCTTCAGTGAAGGTCCCCTCCACTTCATCACTATCCCTGCACCCTGCTGCTGGCAACCAGTTCTTTTTAATGTTTGTTTTCCATGCCAACTCTTCTGCTTGAGAGAAAAACGTCTCCTGGCATGGTTTATGAACTACAGGACCCCGCACAGTCCCTTGAGCAGAGTGGGTGCTCAAAAAAGAATCATTGAACCCACGTGACTGTATCAGTGTGGCCTTATAATACCATGAGGCATCTAGAAGAACACAGTAACAGCTCCTTATCACCCACAGAGACCAGGCCTTTGCTGGACCAGCAGGGAGAAAGCCTCTGTCAGAATAAGGAATGCTGCCCTGATCTAGTCATCAAGGCATGGCTGGTATCCAATGCAGCACTTGGCACATAGTAGGTGCTCATAAAAGAGCAAGTGAATGATAGAATAACTCAAATCCTACTTAGAGCAAGCCATCTACCTACCCACCCACACCTGCCCTAAAGAGCAACGATAATAAAGAAAGGAAAACCAGCAGAGTTGCAGCCAGGTATTGAGACGCTGAGACTCCTTGCCAGCACCATTTGTACTGGGGCATGGACACCTTTGCTAGCCCACACCCGTATGTGTTTCTCTTACCTGCTTCTGGCTAATCCCCCTGGAACTGCAGACCCCCCAGGTCCTCAGGAACCAGCACTGCTCTCCATAGACAGGAGGTTTGCTTTATTGTGTCTGGAGGCCAAGGCTCATTTTTCTCAGGGTGATTAAAAAACATCTGCAAAGGCCAAAAAAAAAAAAAAAAAAAGTAAGCGGATTTCTAGCAGAGTGTGGTTAAACGTTAATGACACCAATGGAGCCTCTGTCTCTGTTGTGGCATGACTCAAAAAGCCCTGAAGGCTCAGGAAAGAGTGAAGAGTTTATTACAGGTGCAATGATGTGGCTCAGTGACCAGCACAGAAAGCCTAGAAATAGATCCACGATAGATAAGAGTGTCCCAGAAAGATAAGGTGGGGACCACCAACCCACGAGGGAAGAAGGGGTGACTTATCTCTGCTTAGGAATAAGCAGCGAGTAGTTTCAAAATGAACCCCAGATTTTCAAAAAATTATTTATTTCCAAAAGATGTTTAGTGATACATGAAAGTTCAGTCAGCATATTTTTAACTGAAAAGATAGGTTCCAAAACTAAGACTATTATTCAAATTCAAACACAATTTTTAAAATATGCAGGTGTGAAAAAGAGAAAAAAGTACAAAAAGCACATCCCAAATGGTAGAATATTTCCATGTTTTGTACTTTTGTGTATATCACAAACTTTCTAAAATGTATGTTTATTACTTTTTGAGATAAAAATATGTAAATATATAACACCAAAAAGCTTAAAAATATATTTGTCAGCCCTCTTTGGTGCAATATAAAAATAGCAAGGGGAACATTTAATAGATTCAACTGCAAAGACATTCCAATTTCTACACCATGAAAAACACTATAACTATAATTTAAAAAAGGAAAACGAGTCAAAGTACAAAACAGGGTTAATACAGTAAAAGCCTCTCAAAATAAAGTTGCAGTTAACACAAAAGGCAAATCACAAAATAAAAAGCATAACTAACAAGCATATGACATTATAGCGAGTTTGTGAGAACCTCAAAGGAGGTTCTAGCTTACACTAGATACTAATTTATAGAATTTATATTGCTCAGTAACCTTCAAAATGTTCATGCTCATTGCTGGACAGATGATAATGAAATTTGTAAACATTTGAAGGAGAACTGAAAATTAGTTTAACCATTCTAGAAAGTTTTTGAGAAATGAAACTAAGAGCTTGTATCTCCACCAGGTTACCATAATACATCCAGGAAGTCACACTGCAAAAATAATTCAAAAGAAAAATAAGATTGTATGTTTCAGTTTCCTCAGGCGTAAAATGATTCCCTATCTTACATAGTTGTGGTGAAGACTGATAGAGATTGAGATAAGAATGTGAATTCTGCAATTCTATATGTGTGTTTGAAAAAGAAAAGAAAGTTTTTTTTTTAAATATAAGCTTATGGTGAAAATCCGTAAACAACTAAACTTCCAGCAACAGCTAAAGTATGGTACATCAACCTGAAAGAGTATAGACAATCGTGTGTGAATTGATGTAGTCGTGGAGAAGAAAACATTTAACATATTATAATGAAGAAAGCAAAGTAGAAAGTTATCTGTGTACACATTATTGCATCTAAAAGTTAGCTGTGTCCAAGTAACTAGAAAAAACTTATAAGTTTGAGACCTGCAGACTGATAAAGTGAAAAATTAGTTTTCACCATATCATTTTGACTTCACTGTCCTTCTTATATTAGCTGAATAAATACGGCCAGCTACTGGGAACAATACAGAAAATATCCTTCGATTCTGTGTATCATCGGAGCAACTTGAAGGCTGTCCTAGGAGATTCAACATTAAGAAGCAATATGAATATAACTGTATGAGCCAGGAGAAAAGGCTCCTTTAAAGATGAGGTTGGGCTGGACATGGTGGTACACGTCTGTAATCCCAGCACTCGGGAGGCTGAGGCAGGAGGATCACTGTGAGTTCGAGACCAGCCTGGGCTACATAGTGAGACCCTGTCTCAAAAAAACAAAAAACAAAACAAGATGAGGTCGGGGGTAGGAGAACCTCAGGTTTTCATGGCCAGGTGGCTGGCAGGTGGGCCCTGGGCTTGACTGACAGGGCAGAAGCAAGACGGGTCCTTTGTCCTTTGTCAAAAGATTCAGTGCACTCCTTAACAATGCAGAAGAGAACTGGTGTAGGGGGCAAGCTCCCAGGAAAATCAAGAAATGACTCTGAGAGCTCTCGTTCTGTGGCAGCGGGGTTTATGCAGGCGTTTGTATTATTGATTGCTGTCTGCCTCATTCCACCAGTATTATAATTTCCGTAAATAGGAACCTTGTCAGCCTGCTTCGCTAATATCACCGGTGATCGTCTCCAGATCCTGGGTGAGTGCTGAGCATGGAACAGGTGCTCAGTAAGTTCCTGCTGTACGAAGCAGCTCTTCTCAGAGCTCTGCTTATTTCAGGCATCACTGATGAAAGACTTTTTTAGCTCCCCAGAGAGAACACTGAGGGGTCATACAACCCCTGGATGACACTGCTTCCCTGTGGATGATGATTCACACCCATCTCCTCATGCTGGGTTGTGAGACTTCCATTTGAGATCTGCCCACAGATATCAGAAGAGTTCATAGACCTGAGCTCATTCTTTCTCGTGTCATCTACACCTGCTGGAAAGACCTGCCTTCTAAGAAGATAAAAATCACAACCAATCCTGATTTCCAAAAATTCAGCTGGTTAAAATACACATGGTGCAACTGTCTACCAGATCTATTGTAGATAATGAAGGCCTCCCAGAAATAGTTACTGCTGCTGGAAGAAGCAGCATTCATGACCTTGAGCCAGCTACAGAAGTGAGGATAGAACCCTCAACTCTAGTTGACAAACTAGCAATCACAACAATAACTACCATGCTGTGTGCTCATACCAATTATAGCTTAGGGGTAAGAGCACAAGCTTTGGCATGATCCAAAAATCAACACACAAAAATCTGTAGAGCTCCCCCTACACAATAATGAAGCTAAAAGAAAGGAATTAGGAAAACAATACCTAACATTCACAGTAGCTTCAAGAAAAATACTGTTCATAGGAATTAACCTAACAAAAGAAGTGAAAGACCTCTATAATGAAAACTATTGTACTCTTAAAATGGAGATCAAAGAGGATATCATAAAATGGAAAGATAGCCCGTTCCTGGATAGGCAGAACCAATATTGTCACACTACCAAATGTGGTCACACTACCAAAACTGATGTATGGATTTAATACAATCCCAATCGAAATACCAACATCGTTCCTGACAGAACTAGAAAAACAATCCTAAAATTCATGTAGAATCAGAAGAGACCCAGAATAGCAAAAACAATCCTGGGTAACGAGCAAAGCAGGAGGCATTAAATCCCTGGATTTCAAGTTATATTAAAAAGCTACAGTGATTAAAAACAGCATGTCCTGGCACAGAAACACAATGGGGACTAATAAACTGCAGAAAAACAGAAACTTCAGGCACATTCAGTCATCTGATCTTTGAAAACGAGGCCGAAAAACATAGGCTGGAGGAAAGATATCCTCTTCAGCAAATGATGCGGCAAAAACTGGCTATAAAAATCCGTAAGACTGAATCTAAACCAGTATCTCTTGCCGTGTACTAAAACATAATACGGATCAAAGATCTAAATGTTAAAACAGAAACACTGAATCTACTGGAAGGTGAAACACGTAAAATTCTTGAAGATACAGGTACAGGCAAGGACTTTCGGAGTAAACCCCAACTGTACAAGAAATAACACCAAGAATCAACAAACAGAGGGCCAGAGATTTAGCTCAGTGGTTCCGCCGCCTGCCTCACAAGAATCAACAAACAGGATTATTACCAGATTAAAAAGCTTCAGCAAGCACAACAAAGAAAATAGAGTGAAGAGACATCCCACAACATGGGGGAAAAAATTTGCCAGCTATCCCTCAGAGGACTAAAAACTACAATACATAAAAAGCTCAATAAATCAGACCCTCAAAATAAAGAATTCAATTAAAACATGGGCAACTGAAATGAACAGACACTTCTCGGAAGAAGTATGAGGGGCCAATAAAGTCATGAAAAGATGTTGAACATCTCTGGCCCATCAGAGAAATGCAAATTAAAACAACACTGAGCTTCTATCTTCAGTCTAGGAAGAAGAGCTATCATCAATAAATTATTAATAAGTGCTGATGAGACTGCGAGAAGAGAGGAACCTTCTGTGTGTGGGTAGGAATATAAACTTGTACAACCATCGTGGAAATCAATACAGAAATTCCTTTAAAAAACTAAAAGAAATTCCACTTTATCCTTTTCTCCTATGTATTTTCTGTCCCCAAAGAGTTATGACACTGTGTTACAATGATATGATACAGGCACACCCATGTTCACAGCAGCACAACTCAGAACAGCTAAATCTTGGAAGCTGCCTATGCATCCGTCAACAGATGAGTTAAGGAAAACGCAGTATTTATACACAATGGAGTGCTACTCTGCCAGAAAGATAACCGTGAGTCATCTGTAGGAAAACAGGTGTACCTGAGACAACGTGTTAGTAATGTCAAGTATAACACTATTGATTAATAAATTAATAAGTCAAACAGACAAGCTTAAATATCACAGGGTTCCTCTTATTTGAGAAACAAAGTATAAATAATTTAAAGAGCAAAACAAAAGACAGATAATAGGAGATAGGGAGATAAAGGTTTTGTAAATGGAAGAGGATCAAAACATGGGAGGACAGGGGAGGGAGAGTAGGGGAAAGAAGGTAAACGGCCCAACTGCCCGTTAACTGGAGACTGGATTAAGAAGATGTGAGGTTTTTTTTAATATAAAATGGAGTACTGCTCAGCCATAAAGAATGAGAAACTAGAGACATTCCTAGCCAGGTGCATGTACATTGAAACCATACTCTTAAGTGAAAGTATTAAGACACACGTGTGTAAATACTGAATAGTTTCTCTGGTGTGAAAAAGTAATTCAATAAGGATCAAAATGTATAATTGATATCATGTGATAGGAAGAAAAGATCTAAAAGAACAGGAAGTGGGCAGGGTAAGGGAAAGGGAAAAAAGGAAAAGAAAAATATGTGAAAAGGAAAAACAGAAACAATGTCTTTGTAACAGGGAAGGGTGGAAGGGGTGAAGGGAGGGCTGGGGAATGG